CCTGTAGCGAGTAAAACTCTAACACAGAAAAGACCTGTCTATGCTGCCCCAGAACGCCTCGTTGGAGATTTCTCTTTTTCCATTTGTTTCTTCCGGGAACCAAAATGGACCAATCCGCGGAGCTCCTCACACACCAGGACCTTTAGCGTACATTTTCAACTAACAGGGAGTCCCATTGACTTGCATAGAGCTCCCTGGTTGGTAATAGACGAGTTGGGATCGCAGAGAAATGCTCTCCGCAGACCCATTCTCACAGCGTTTATAAACCTTTTTCTTACTCAATATCAAGCCACACTTATTGTTTTTACTCTGGCTGTGAGTGTTTGTGTGTGCTCAGGATGAGTTTCGCGCTGTCCCGCCGACCCTGAGACCACACCAGTAAGCCAGCTCACTGAGCAGCGAGCCTCGCAACGTCTCGACCAATCAGAGCACACTGGGCTCACAGGGAGGGGGTTCCGTTTAGGACAGAGAGTGAATACACATACTTTACAGAGATGCTGTATGAGAAACCAATGTGAGTTTGGAAAATTGCACAATATAAATCTATTCTAGTAGACCTCAACAATGGAATTATGATCAGTAGAAATGGCCATGACATGGGACCTTTTTAAGTTACCAGGTTCAAAAGTTACCAGACCTAACAAAAAGGTATTTTTGATAATCACAGCTATTGATACAGACACAATAAGAAAAAAGGTGCTTTTGTTTGTTGCACAGGTATTGGCACAAGGGTACCAATAAAAGCAATTGTAAGAAGAAAAAAAAGAGTCTGCTATTGGCCTTCCCCAGGAGAGACTGCTCCTCATTATTGCATATTTAATATATTTATTATACCCAATTTGAAAAATGCAGTAGTCTCTGGTTTTCTCTCCTTGGAGATCTCTTCTGCAACAAAGCCAGTATAGCTTAGCGGTAGGAGCAGTCTAAACAAAATCATTTCTAACATGCTTCGCCCATATTTAGTTTGCAAAGAAAACAAGCTTTAGGATTACAATCACAATCATGTTTCAAATGAATGACTTTAATAGGATACCGTGGGTAGTCTGCGTAGCTTGTCTGGTTGTAGAGGCTGAGGACAGATAGGGGAAAGAGAGGAGAGATGTTAGAAAATGGCTGTGTCATTTTATAGTTATAAGTGTATAGTAGAAAAACACGAGAAACAAAAGGGCGATGAAGAAATAGACAAGACTGCAAATCAATACAAAGTGTCAGTAGAGCAAAATGGGTGTAACTTCAATTCACTTAGAAGTGAAATGTGAGCAATTTCAACATGGGTGAGTAACTCCTTTTTCCACATGCTGGCTTCACTTTGCCAGTGCAGGAAAGAGCCCATATGAACTCAGACAGAGAGGAAACTAGGGTTTAAAGGAGGTGAAGTATTTGATAGTTTGAATACTGATACTGATCACGCTGACAGCAACCCAATCAGAAGGAGGCGGCTAGAATAAAAGATTATCCGCGCAGCCAAGTGTATTATACAAACCTAAAGTGAGTGAATGGAACAAGTGGTGGATACTTAAGGACCTGGTCCAGTTTTGGGGAATTTTAAGTCTGGAAGTTCACTGCGAGTGAAGTTGTAAGTGAAAAAGCATTTGCAAGTTGTCATGGTAAAGATGTCCTAGAGTAGTCCTACATTATTGCCTTATTGATGAAGTTTCATATATAAAATGTACCCATCTGACATGTTTTGACCTTTTTCTTTAGCTATAGTCAGCAGCTCGTTTACGTCTGTCGTTTTTGTCAGGAAACCAAAGCACTGTAGCAAAAAACTGACAAATCATTATATACATATGAAATTGGCTTGGTTCATAAAGCATCAACACAGTAGCTTATGAACAGTTGTATACTTATTCTGTTCTTGATATTTTCTCCATAATCGGCTTTGGCTGTGAGTGTAAGTACTGTATGTTGTTTCCACATTGTTTTTGGGGCACTTACCGCAAAATACCAAGCAAGCATCCAAGGTCCCAGGCCGAGGACTTAGGCCGGACATTTCCTGGCATATTTCTGCGCATGCCTCTGATTTATGAAAGCTGCTGGCAGCTAGGAGACATCTCACTCTGTCTGAGCAGTCAACTCCCCCTCCTCCGTTTACCTCGTCTCATAACCTACCCTCGGAATGTGACTTTGCGCAAGGCTGTGTGACCGCTATTTATAGTGGGTCACCGTGGTGACACAGTTACCTTAATGTGCTATACAGTAACGGACAGAGTGTTTAATGGTAGCAGGAGATGGCTCAGTGACAATGAGAGATGTGTATGTGTGTTCCCTAACCTGAGTTTCCCTTAAGAAGACAGTTTTATTTCAATCAACAATAAATCCTTCAGCCGTCTAATTTTGACTACTATCCTCTTAACTTTTGCACTTCTACTATTTGTTTACTTTTGGATGTTTAAATAGACTGTGGACAGCATCCATCTGTAATTGTGGTGAACTTCTAGAAGAGCCACAGGCAGACGGAAAGGGTTGGCTTGTTTTTATCCACCATCATTTCATGACCCCAGGCCACATGCAGAAATAGCACCGTGGCCGGGGCTTGTAAGAAGGCTTTGGTTGCTGTCTGTGACTGAACACTGAAATAACACACTCAGACATGCTCGTATGCATTATTTCCCTCTTTCTAATACACATTACGTACACACACATGCTCAGGCGTTGTCTTGGTATCTTTCCTGGTTTTTTTTTAAAATAAGAAATATAAATGTACATATTTACCACAGAATGGACAAATCCATCTACTTAAACACACTCATTCTCAAATAATAAACACACAAAAAGCCTCTATAACAGATAATACCCTCTTAACACAATGACCTTATGCAAACAAACCAGACCACCAAGATATACATCTTCATCAAATTCTGTCAGTTTTCAGGCCTTTTTTCTCCCTGACTTGTTTTCAACGTTTCTAAAGTTGCAACATTCTTTGGTTCATTTCTTGGCCCCACTAGAGTGAACTTCCCAGGGGAAATGCCCAGGGTTTTTTGCTTGAAAATGGCATTGAATAGAGGCAAAGTAATATCATTAATGTAACAAAAATGTCCACTTGAACCTAATAAAATAGACACAGAATCAGAAAGTCTGTTGTATTTGTGTTGAAAGATCCTCTTTGTATGAGTGGTTGTTTCCCTAAAAACTGGCACCCGGAGTACCATTTGATTGAGGCCACATGCATCCTCTGCAGACATATTTCCTGCACTGCATCCTGTGTTAGAGAAGTAGCATAGAAAAGAGACTTGCACTCTGAACCCTGTGTGTGAGTTCTTTCAATCCCTTCTCTCTTCTCCCTCTTCCCCCCCTTGAACCCACTCGTCCCTGTGGTGCATTATCCCCCCACTTCCTCCACCTTCTCTTCCTGCCACTCCTTCATTCTCTTAATTCCAATTCCTCTCATTCCTGGCTTGCTTGTCTCTCCGTCTGGCTCTCTTCTTTTTCTCCAAATCCCTTATCTCCACTGACCTTTCTCCACTGTCTCTCTCCCACTCTATCCCCTTGCATCTCCCGGCTGCCTTCTCTCTCCTCCTCCGTGCCCTCTGCACTCCCTGTCTATCTCTACAGCTGGAGGCTAGAGAGGGTGCTGGTTTGGTCAGTGGAGGGGTCCAGTCAGCCGCAGGTCCTCGATCTGTGGCGTCACGGAGTGCTCGAGAGCAGCACGGCGAGACATCGTCTCTCCGCCTGGAGAGGGAAGAGCAGCGGAGGCTCCTGGCGGACACACACTCCACAGCCATGGACCTGCGCTGTCGCCTGGAGCACAACGAGAGGGACTGGGTGAGGGAGAAAGCCGAGCTGCTGGAGAGGTTTGATTTGGAGAGGAGGGAATGGGAGTGCCAGCTGATGGATATGCAGAGAAAAATAGAGGAGGTAACTATGAATTATAATATTTCTGCATTTTGTACTAGTTTTATGAATTGGCTTGGGGTTAAGGCTGGATTTAGACAGTGATGGAATGTACCTTAATTATAATTTGAGGTACTTGTATGTTACCAACTAGATTTCCATTCACTACATTTACATATGTAGTTACTTTACAGATTCAGATTATTAGAATACAAATAAATAAATAAACATTTATATATAATTGTAGGTAAAAGAATCCAGCAGCAGTAAATACAAAAGCTCCACCATAACAGCTGTAATGAACACATTAATGTATCAGTATCATAATCCAGTCATTCATATATATGATTCTGAAATGGGCAACACTTTTGTGGATGTGGATACCGATACTTTTCTTAAGTACTTTCTTAATTATACTCGTACCAGAGTATTTTAGTATTGCTATTTTAACTTAAACAAGAGATCTGGCTTCCCCTACACCACTGGATTTAGGTAAAAGTAAGGCAAGTGGAAAACTAGATCAAGTAGAACCATTTCCAAACTTGTGAAATGCTTTATTTTGTGTAGGATGTATGGCTTCCCATGCACTGAGCAGAGTGTAACACTTCCCTCCTACACATCCTGTTCTGCATCAACACTGTCAAAACAATATCCCTGATCAGTGCAGCTGCAGAGTGAGGAAAGGAAGGAGTGGAAGGAGGAGGGCTCTGCCATTTCTCTGATCTCTGTGTACTGAGACAGAGGCAGTGATTGAGACGGGCACCTTTTTAAAAGGGAGAAGCATTTTGTTCTCTCATTGTACATGTATAGTGACATTAAATGATTCTATTCCATGACCTGGAGCGATGTAGACGGAGAAGCTGGCATGAAACAGAAAGACCTTTCTTTACAAGAGGCCAACACAGAAAAGAGTTTTCTTTCTCAATCAAACTTTATTTTCACATCTTTTGAAATGGAACAGAGAACATTGATTCAAACAGCGCTCTCATTATTCATACATTTTTTTTGATGGAAACTTATTTTTGGGAAATATGCCTGATCATGTGAGCTATAATAAAGTTGTTGTGTGAAAATGGTTTGTATGGGAAATAATGGATGAAAAAGTATAAAAGGATTAGGTTAGTCAGAAAGGGAATCAAAAGCCAATGAATGGCCCATAAAGAGGTACATAAAGAAAAGAGTGAAGCATGTGTGGTAACAATGCCTGAGTCAAAATGTGACATGGAGCAGGTTACTGTTTTTAATAAGGCAAGCCGTACAAAAGTAGTTGGACTTAGTGCAAAGGCACTGTAACAATTTGCTAGGAAAAGAACATGTGGCTCACATTCGTCCCTCTGACCAGAAATGAGAGGAAAACAGCAGAGGACTAAAAGGCACTATTTCATCTAGAAATTGCGTGATGGGAACGGAGCCCAGTGAACATGAAATGCTTATTATTTTGGGATCTCATGGCAGGAAGCCAGAGGTTACCCAATTGTAATGAAATCATTCTTGGAATGTTTTTTTGTAATCCTCTGTGGGCTAAATATGTTCTTATAATTTGTTGCAATGCTGCCTCCTCATCCCAAATCTATTTGTGTTTCTGGAATAATACAATATTGCACTGTTCATATAGTTTTATTAGGACATTATTTATATTGTGTGACCTTTGTTCTAGACCCATATTTTGTATATCCTCTCATTATAACCATTCAGCAAGACTAGAGGCATTAGGAACAAAAATACTTTGACTGAGGTGTACACTTCTATCTTATCGATGATCTAATCATTTCATCAGACAAATGTTAATTCATAGTTTTTGTTCCTAGCTGCAGCAAAATATAATGTGAAATTCCCCCTTAAAAATATATTTTAGATTACAAAGGACCATTCTTCTGGGACTACCTTCATTCTCTCCTCCTGTTTTCCAGCTGTACTGTGACGTGGGGACCAAGCGAGAAGAAAGCGGGCTGGCCAGTGGGAGGCAGCAGGACGATGATGCTGTTCACAGACTCAGCATCCGCTCGTCCAGCACCGGCTCCAGTTTGCTTAGTGACAGCGAGCCGCTCAGCAGCAGCAGTCAGTCGGAGTCCATCACATATCCACCTTTACCCAGTTTCAGTGGCAACAGAAACAGCAGCAGTGAATTTGTCCGCAGAGACGGTCTCCACACCTCTTGCTTACACGCAGACAGCCTGAATAAATATGTTGATGCTCAGTTCACTCAGAATGACCACTCACAACCTGAGCTGCTGGAGGAGTTAAGATACAGAGGCACCTGGCAGAAAGACTCAGACTATGATAGCAAGAAAGCTGTGGATATGAAGGAGTTGGATGCTATGTTTCATGGAGCTCCTGGCAGCGGAGAGCAACAGAAAAACGTCTCAAATGTCACTGAAGGCAATGTCCATGTTAGTCCTGAAGAAAGCCTTCATTGGGCAGAGCTGAGTTACGGAACTGAGAAGAAGAGGAACACCACTGCTCTCAATGCTGTGAGTGTTTGAAACTATTTCTCTATTTGTTAAAAACAGACTATACAGTTGGAATCATTGGTGTGGTCGGCATTCCTTTGCTTGTCAAACTTGTTTGATCATCAGTGTCCTGTATACGTATTTCTGTCATTCCTTGGCTCTTTGAACACATAATCCCCTTTATCTTCTTCATCAAGTTGTATTTGTACAGTTCTTCAACAATACACAGTATCCATCATGTGTGGCTCTTCTCCCTGTGCTCAGGCTCTGAAGGAGATAGCCCGTGTCAGCGAGGAGCTTTGCAGCTACCAGGATGAGATCAGAAAGAAGAGTGGGGATAAGAGGTAAATAATTCCTCTCTGCTGTGTTCCCGTCCTGTCGTCAGAAGGGAACGATGGTAATCACTGTCTGTTTTGTCTTGATGCTCTAGCTATAAGACCTAACGCATTTCATTCCCTTCAGGACTCGATCTGAATCCCTGACCTTACCTGAGGAGAGCGACAAGTTGTTAAGTCACGATAAAACCCAACTGGAGGTGGATGATCCTCCCTGCGACCTCAGCCAGATTTACGATGACTTCCGGGCCTTGGAGAGGGAGAACTGGATCACCATGTCACCCGATAACACCTGGCGGGATGACAGAAGGCCGAGCAAATCCTGGAGAGCAAACTCAGCTGATCCAGACAGCTACCGAGAAACACAGACGAGCCCTAAACTACTCTTTGAGGTCGATGCAGAGGCTCCACCCATCCCTCCCCGCATCACCTCCTGGATTCAGAGCTCCCCCACCCACCCAGACACTGAACTCTACATCCCAGAATCCCCCATGGCCACAATAGAGAAGTGCCAAAGCCCCTCTGTAATTGTGGATAAAAAATGTAGCAGCCCGTCTATTGTCAGGAAGTTCGAGGCTATGCTTCAAGAAAACGAAGGGAAAGTTTTAAAAGACGGCGTCGTAGCATCCTGCGCTGTGCCTACTAACTCTGAACGTTATATGGGCTGCTGCCACAACCGCTGGTCCTGTGATGGAACCAAGTTTACCGGCAACAAGCTGTCCACATGCGGGACTGTCCAGAAGAGCCTCTCTGAAGTCAACATATTGACTGCTGGAAAAAATGATTACTGCCCAGGAAACCATAAAAGCCCGGAGCTACAAATGCCTCCGACGGTCAAAGAATTACCTTTAGATCTGCTCTTGTCCTCTCTTGACATACCGCCTGCTGCCCCCAACCTCAAGGGCTCCAGAAGAAACATACTGCTGGAGCAAAAAACTGCTGAGTTCAACAGGACGTTGTTTCAGGCTGAGATGGGCCGTGGCGTAAAGGAGAAGGACAGTTTAACAGCAGCAGATGCTGGCAGCCAACCAGTCTTTCCACCAACTTCGGCATCAGATGAGATTTTACCTCCCAGTGAGAAGTCATGTCAGCCACATTGTACTGGTGTCACCACTACAGTCATTGCTATGCACCATGTCATATTATCTCCCTCCACCTCAAATGCAACACCTCAGAACCACAAGGTCCAGCCAAGGCAAATGAGATGTAGTCCTGAGGGTCACGAGGTCAGAATGAAGCAAGAAATACCCTCTGAACCTTCATCCGAACAGATTAAAGTCAGGGAGGCTGCAACAATCATCTCCCCTGCAACCCGTTCTGAGGTCACGCACAAAGTTTCTACAGCGAGCAGTCCTTCCAGGAAAACCCATCACAGAGCGGCTACAGAGCCTCTCTTCCCTGAGCCTGCAAACACCCAGCCACGTCAGAATGGGGACACTTCCAGCTCCAAGAATGGGAATCCCCATGGAGCAAAGTGTCAGTCAGCCAGAGGTGGCGTCTCACTCCAGACACAGCCAGGGCAGCAGGCACAGCAGAAACCTGCTCCTGCTTCCCAGTCGGACTCCTCCAGGCCCGGGCCTCGAATGATGAACGAGCATCCCTGGAAGGCCCTCACTCTGGCTGCATACCCACGGCCCGAGGGATCCAGGTCCAACTACGGGGCGGTGGAAAGGATTCTGAAGAATTACGAGAGCGCAGCCCGGGCTCAGCTGAACCAGAGCCAGCCAAACGAGCCGGCTTTGAGTCCAAACGCCTGTGTTGGGCAGGACATAGAAGTGGACATGCTGGACATGAACCCTCTGCACTTACCACCCACTCTGAGACACACGCAGAACTCACACAGCTCACACACCACACACTCACAGCTCAGCAGCTACAGCAACATGTGTGTGGAAGAGGTACATCTAACAGTGCAGGTGGGTAGAGTCTGAAATACCGTCTGTATTCACACTGTCACATATAAGCATTGCAACTGTGCTATTCACTGTACAGATGTTAACATTTAGAGGCATTCTCTTGGAATATCATCCGTAAGTCTGCATTTTGTATTACCCTAATTGAGTCAAATATATTTTTAAGGCCAATTAAACCTGTGGACCTGGGTGAACCCACACATTTAGTTCTGTTTTATTTATTTCTGAAACACTAAGCAATTGCCCTTGACTGAGGACAGCTCCGGTGGGAATGTTGTTTATTTCTGGTATGTGCTAAGAGACAGAAGCGGGCCAGAGCCTCCATTATTATCGGTGCATCTGGGCCATTCCATCGCTTAAAGGTTCCTGACAAAAGGAACTGGCATCCAAAGTACTTGGCAGGAGGTTTCTCACCCTCATCAACGCGTCTTTCATCTCCCATTCCTTCCACGGGCCCCATAGTAGAAGTGTTTTTCTGGCCTTTGTGTGGTAATTACAGAAGTATCTGCAAGGAGCCAGCTGACTAAATGCCCTTGGCAGAGCACTGAAATGAGAAAGCTGAAGCGATTACGCCGCTTTAAAGTCACGCAAATAGAAAAATCGTGGGGGCAATTATCAAGCCAATTTTATTTGACCTCATGAAAGGACTGTAATCTGAGGAGCGCACTTGGGTTTAACCTCAACCGAGCAGCGCTGTCCAAAATGAAATGCTGGAGAGTCTATAGATCTGCCAAGTGGCCGCAGAGCCATGGTTTCAGATATTCCACTTCAGACTCTTCCCTCCCTACCAAAAGGAATGGGATCTACCTGTGTGACCTTTCCACATGAGCATGTTCCTGTTAGTGAAATATGCCTGTTGTTTCCCCTAGGCCCAAGAAGACTTCAGATGGAACACGTGACAAAATGTAAAGTATCTTAGTGTGTTTTTAATTGTTGATAGAACGCTGTGATAATCCTAAATGGTAATTCATTTGTTTGTCCACAGGACAATGAAGAGACCTCCGACTCCTCCTGCGCTCAGAAGAACTTCTCCAGGCCTGCCCGTCCTGCCAACCGACGCCGCCCCTCCCGATGGGCCAGCCGCTCCCCCTCCTCCTCCTCCTCACCCTCCCCCTCTCCCTCCACCACCCCCGTTGTGCAGCCATCCTTCCCCCTCCACAAACACAGTTCCTCTTTTACCTTCTCACATGCCTTCCACATAGAGACTGTCATTATTTGATAACCTCTGAACACTTTTCATTACTGTTGTACATACCAGACCCTTGTTCACTCCTACAGACTCAGAAGTGCTATAGTTTTGATTTCACTCAGTTTTTAGAATGTACAGTATGTGGCATCCAGTGGAGCCTAACTGAGCAAAGAAGGCAAGGAAAGGATCTGAAGCAGCTTCACACATTCAGCAGTATGCTTGGTTTCATGCATAGCCTCAGTGGAGTGAACACATCACGCTCATTCATTCGTGCCAACCATCTGAATGGACGTCCTACGCTCAGGATTCTAGCCTTGACTAGTGTACCCTCCACTTCTATCTTATATCTACTGTATCAACAAAGTGATGCTTGCTTATAGTCAAATGATCCCAAAAACTTCCAGCCGAATGAAATCCAGAAGGATGTATTTACTAGTACTGTATTTTGTAAATTGTGTGCAACATGTCTTGTGTGCTTTTTGCACAAAATATGCTGTTACACACACAATATGCAGCGTCATGGTGGTAGAGCAGAGATTTCCCTTAAGCACCTCTCTGTGTGCTGAACCAAGCAGTGTTGATTTCTGCCTTCTTCAATATATTACACACAATACATGCCTGGACCGTACCTTGACGTAAACACTTAGCTTTACATTCACGACTGGCTTTTTATTTTTTTTCTCATGATTACAGTAACAATAAATGTGGGTTTTTTTTATGACTTTGTACCAAAGCCTGGTTTCCTTATATGCATTTTCCTGATTTAAAAATGAAATGCATTGTTTATCACATTCAATTTTGCTTTCCCCCCATTGCTGATGTTTTCCAGCATCAATCATGAGAGCCTTCTTTTGTGAATAGCAGTGATTACCATGCTTATGATAAAAAGATTAAAAAGCCTTTTTCTACTTTTACTAACTCTGAATAGTCACATATCAGGACATTACTCAGCCGAGTAGTACAGGTTTTGGGTCAAAGTGATGAATCATATCATGATGAAGGTGATGCCTTTGCTGTTCTTTTTGTGTAATAAACTTAAAGACTGAATGATTTCTCCTGTTTACTTCACAAGTTAGTTTTTTTATTCGGCTGATTTCTAGGCAGCTTAAACCCATCTGTCGAGCGTGACTGAAAACAGCATTATTATAAAGTCATATTTCAAAAGTTGCAGCAGACAAACTCGCTTATTATATTTTTCTCCAATTATCTTCAATGAGTGTTATGAGTTTAGAACTATATGCTAAACCTTGCCGCTGTGCCGTGCCCTGCTGCAGGCCTCTTCAACCCTTATCCTACAATAGGTACTGTAATGAAATAAGTTCTCAACATCAATCAAACATGGCACACAAAGTATTTCTGCATCCAGAGGAGTACTCGGTGACCCTTCCCTAAGATGAAGCACCAGAACCAAACGTCTGTCTGGCTGCTTTAATCTCCTGATGTCAGATTGATGGCTGCAGAGGGGCCGTCCATCACTTTGATAGAGTTTGATGTCTGCGTATGTATTCCTCCATAAATGCATTCTGTTCCCCAAGAAAACTTGGTGTAATGAAGACCGTTTTACTTATTCATGTAACTCTTCGCTTCTATGAAAATACCTGTCTTTCATATTGTTTCTGCGCTGTCTGGAAAACATCACATTTCAACACACACACTCACTTACATAAACATACAAATGAACACACACGCAAGCTTACACATCCTTGGCCCTGAGCGGCATGGACACCTAACCCCTCACCCTGAAACCTGGCACCCACATGTCTGACGGAAATAACAGGTGCGACAATGTTATGGTGCCAGAAATCCTACCCTGGTACTGATATAAATATTGTCATCCTCTCTCTGATGCCTAGCCTAGCGCTGTGTTGGCTGTCTCACACTGTTTCCCTGTGTCAAGGCCGGGCAGCAGCCTGGACTCCCAGGACTGGCCTGTGGTCAAGTCTGGAGATTTCCAGATGCTCAAACCATTTATATAACCAGTACTAACTGTTTTTATTCCAGTGCTGCTGAAAAACACAATAACACAGGAAAGAATTTATGGGGCAATCATAGGACTGTAGGTTCAGCCAGAGACAAGGGGCTAATAAGACTTTTAGAGTCATCCTCTTACAACCTTGAGTAAAATCATTTTTAAATGTATTTACATTTTGGCTACTTGTTTCCTACAAAAGAGTCTCTAAGTAATCCTTAGCACTATGACTGCAGTTAATGGCCAAACAGGACTCGACATTTTTGGTCATTATCTTTTCAGAATATTTTCTTTTCATGTCAAAATACATTGAAGTCATATTAGATCACTTAGGAATGATCTTTGAGACTTTTTCAATTTTTAATAAACTAGTTTGAGTAAATACGGTATACGTTTTCTTCCCAGTTAGGTATGGTATCAAATATGCACTTTATCTTTAAATGTTCACTCACTATACTATCCACAGGAATTTTAATTAGCAGTTTTAGTTGTTGACTAATGTCTGGGCATCATTTGTGATACTTCCTTAGTGTGTGTCAGTAAGTATACATTGGAAATGTTGCTCGGCCTTCAAGCCTCTCTGCAGTGCAAGGCCCAACATGACTCATCATATTTGGTCACAGACAGAGATAAGGGTCACATGAGATTCCTTAAGAATGAATTTGAGTATGTTTTTTTACTTTTTGTACATAGTCTCTTGGTTTTGCTTTGCGAGTTGCTGTCAACATGTCCCAGTTGCTGCTGGAAAAGTACTCATTGGCCCTCGAAGTGTCTCCCGCTGGCCCTCTGCCCCCCAGCTCTCTATTGCTCCTCTCAGGAAACCTCCAGGCCCCTGAGAGTCTCTGGCACCTGCCAACCTGCCATTCTTCCTGCTCTGAAATAGACCCTCACTGGCACTTATCTGTGTGTGTGTGTGTGTGTGTGTGTGTGTGTGTGTGTGTGTGTGTGTGTGTGTGTGTGTGTGTGTGTGTGTGTGTGTGTGTGCGTGCGTGCGTGCGTGCGTGCGTGCGTGCGTGCGTGCATGCGTGCGTGTTTGTGTGTTTCTTATCTTGGTAAATTGGTATAGAGCCATGCTGACTGCAGCACATTCCCTGACTTCCTGTGGAGCCCCGGACAGCTGCATATCGATCCATACACTGATGCATCACTTTAGAGGCCTCATACCCGCACGACCACTCACTGGAACCTTTATATATACAGTCTATGACTGGAACACACACAGACTGTTATTTCAGACAGGCCTCCATTATCAGCTGGAGTCTGCGGCTGGATCGCTGATATCCGGGTATATTATACGAGATTATAAAACAGAAGGCTGACTCTAATCAGAATGAGTGAAAAAGGGCTGTGCAGAGGATGAATGGAAGTGGGCATGGATGGTGAGATAATGGCTTTGGGAATTACATTTTATAAAATATTTGTAGTAAAATAATCCCTTATACGCACTCGTGGGTGACTTTAGAAATACTATGTATGCAAATTAAAGCCTGATATTTGGAGACAGGTTGCCGGCTAGCTGACCTAGCTTTAAGTACTGTACAGAGCATGAAGAATAGTCAGCGTGTCTGGAATGCCTGCCTTGGATGCATCCCACCGACCTTTTTGAATTCCTTCCCCTCTTTTAAATAGACCAGAGAGCGAGGTATGGACTTCTGACAGTCTTGGATACTGTACACTGTATCCTTGACGATGACCTGTTATGTCTGTAGTAAGTCATAAATGAGTTTGGTTCCACAAGGATACCCATGTAGGGAAAAATCCCTCTGATTGGTTATTACACTCTCATAATAAAGGGTCAAATGTAAGGATTCACTGTGTCTGAATAGCTAGTAAATAATTACACTTTTAAGGGTATGTGCAAAAACATCTAACATGAATGAATCTTTTGTATGTATTTTTGTAACCATTTCCTCCCAAAGTAGATTTTGTAAGTGTTTATTTAGCGGTGGTTGTTGAAAACTGAACAAGCAGTGGTGAAATGTATTTATATATTTATATACACCTGAAATTGGCACTGATGCATAATGATTAATTTTACTTTTTGTGCATTAGGTATGATGCTATTACTTTTGTACTTTTACTGAAGATTTTAGATGCAGGACTTCTATTTGTATTTCTAATTTAATTCAAATGCTCAACCTTTTTTGAGCATCTCTCTGGAATGCTCAGTGTGTGTATGTTTTCACAAATATCTTCAGGGCTGTGAATACAGTTAGAGGATGTGTGGATAGAGGTGAAGAATGGATATGCTCCAAATTACCATAGATCAGATTAGTGGACAGGAAGTGTCTCATTCTCCCTCTGTTTTGGCACATTTACCTTCCTTTTCCTGAATATTTTTTGGTCTTCGTATAATCCTTGTCTGTGAACACCCTTGTATCTTAATTTCACTCACTTAACATCACACGTACACATTATATATCCCCAAATTGTATCTTTACTTGTAAACCTCAGAATGTACACAGATGCATTGGTTGTACACAGAATAAGTATGGACCTTCAAGTCTGTGGCAATTTATATCTGTCTGTGTTTGCGCAGTACTACGATCTCAGAGCAATTCACACTTTTTACTAACCTTTAGAACGATGTAAATCCCTCTTGGGATGATATTACGTGTTAGGAGGTAATGGCAAAAGTGCAAAGCTAGAACTCAACTATTGCCCATAATTCAAAGGTATGGGTGAATTTGCTTGCCTCGTAATCGTGAACTATTTTTTTGATATTATTACAACATTTAACATCTTTGAAAATAATACCTATTATGTTCATTTAGAGACATTCAGTCCGGTTATATAAGACTTGGTTACAGATGAGACAAAATCCCATAGCACGTTTTTGTTTGACTTTTTGTTGACAAGACTTGTAAGTAACATGACTTTTAAAATTCAGTAGGCCTATGTGTAATATTAAATATGTATTAGTTCTTGTGCCAAAGAAAATGTTATTTTGATGTCTTATCTTAACACAGACACAGCATAGTGATGAGAAATATGACTACGTTAATATAACTGTCAGCTGCCCTTTGCCAAAACTGTATTATAACTCGTAGGTGTTGTTTTAATCCCACAGTCAATACAACTGAATAAGGACATGTGTGAGAGCCAGTAGACAGTAGTCTGTGTTTACACACTTGTGACAGACAAAGAGCAGAGCTCTCGGTGCGGTGCATTGGCCAATGATGTATATAATGTTACATTCTTGTTGCAGAATAAATGAAAGCCTCTATTTGTAGTGTGTTGTGTATAATGTATATGGTCCATGTAGCACGAAAACATAATAGATACATGTATTTCCTTTAATGCAAGAGTTGATATTTGTTTTTAAATGACACCTGAATCAATAGTGCTGCTTGGTATTATTCCGCCCCCCTGTGGGGACTTTGAGGAACTACATGTGTGTTTCAATTAGTTTCTTCCGAAGAGCTCTAGTTTCCGGTGGGACGAATTTCAGAGTGACACCAGGCGAATGTCAATAAGCAAGGTTGGTGTTCGAGTCTTTGGATTCTCAGTGGTTTGTTATCATTAAACTATGGTGGCATGTTAAATATATCTTACGAAATGTATTAGTTGTATCCGATTTTCGTTGAATGAGTAGGCTAGTGGCCTACACATTTAAGTTAGAAATGAATACTTACACCTTGTAGTTCCCAAATAAAGTGTTGGTTATCAATGGTTTAGTTTGGATGTTAGACTGTTCATAGTGTCAGCAGTCAGAGAGAGGACACACATTTTTATTGAATTTCAGTGTTTCTTCTATTTGATTCGGATATATAATATATCAATGCAGCATTTAATTCCTACACTGAACAGTAGGAAACTGCTCTTAATATTTGATTTAAGTGCAAGTCAGTTTTATATAAATATTTGTATGCATTTTTTATTTAATTTATAATGTTTTCCAAGCTTCCATATCTTGTGACAAAAGTACTCCAAATATTGAAACCCATATTTTGTACCATCTGCATTCTGCTTCAGGATGGTTCTGTGTGCTGTGAGGCAGCATCTCCTGCGGGGCAGCCGTGGAGCCTGGGCCAGGTAAGGGAGTCTAGTCAGCATTGTTTATTACCACGCAGGTGATGGTGAACAGTGCCATAAATAAAGGAACATTACATCTACCAAGCTGAGAAACATTAAGTCTAATAACCAAAATGCATTTCTCAGGCGCTTGGATTTGTGAAATATCAATCTATAAAAAAGTAATACATCTTTGATTCTGACTCCTGACTACAATGAGTCCAAATCTGAGCTGTTTCAATCTCAGGGTTACACGTTTGTTTGTGTGGCTCTGTACCATGACCCTTCAGGCTGATTTACAAACCGGCACACTGAGGGAGTGTATTTTAAGTATTCATCAGTCACGAGCACTATAAGTATGATTTCCATTAGGCAGTTTTGGATACCATTTCTTTATACTGCAATACACGTGCACGTTCAGTCTGATTTGAATGAATGTATCATTTAGCTTCAAGCACACATCTGATCATGTAAAGAACAACATTTCCTCTCTTTTTATTCCTGTGTAAGTGATGGATCTACATATAGATTAACTGCAATTGACAGGATATAATTCAACTTTTTGAATGTTGTTCCTATAAGGTTCCTGCAGAGACAGAGCAGGGGCTGTGTGTACTCCAGCGTCCATGGCTTCCAGCTGGAGGAGATCAGAGAGAAGCTGCAGGCCTTTCCTGGAGGCTCCATTGAGCTGCTCAAACAGGAGTCTGGCCTCGCTGTGCTAACCATCAACTACCCCTCCCGCATGAATGCCTTCTCCGGTAACATGACAGGGCATTGGCACTTCCTCTCAGATTTACTAGTGCACATTTGGATTAAACTCATTTGCACACAATCATAAACAAATGACATATCATCCCAGTTCAATATTGTCCCCTTTTCTTCCTACCAGGCAGTATGATGGTGGATCTGGAGGAGAGGGTGAGCCAGCTGGAGGGCTGGACAGACGGTAAAGGCCTCATAGTTCAGGGTGCCTCGGGAACCTTCTGCTCTGGATCAGACCTCAACGCTGTCAGGGCCTTATCCGACCCACAGGTAGCCCAGCAACAACATGATTTAAAGCAGTGACTTTAAATATTTTACCTTACGAGTACCCTTTTTTCAAACCATTGATTGAACTGACAACCCCGGACAAAGTGACATATTTTATTAATATTTCACATTATACACAAGACAATTTATATATATTGTATATAATAAATATATACATGACAATTCAAGTATTAAATAACTGATAAGCTGTACAATTAACCCACATTTACCTTTGTACAATGAGCCATTTGGGTTAATTTTGACAATACTATTGAATTTGAATGATTCAGATATGATTTTTGTCTTTTATCTTTAGGAGTTTTTCCTACAAATACTTGCTGTGTCTGTTTATTTCTGCAATGTTTGCCTGTATCTCTGTACTTTTATCTTTATGTCTCATGGATGTAAACTACAGAATGTTTTTTTTCTTCCTTGTAGGATGGGATGAAGATGTGTATGTTTATGCAGAATACTCTTACAAGACTACTCAGGTAAGGACTCTCTTTCTCTAATGTCTTGCAAATGAAAATGCCGACTAAATCAGCAGCAACCAGTCTTAGCTTACAAGAGTTGGAGTTTAGCTGTTATGTAATGTCCACATTTACAGAATAATGTCCTCAGTGCAGGCTGCCTATGATCTCTGTTGCTCTGGTGGAGGGGAGAGCTCTGGGAGGGGGTGCAGAACTCACCACTGCCTGCGATTTCAGGTGAATATGTACATTTATATCAGCGTTTAGATGAACGCTGATAATAATCTAACGTGTGTCTGTCATCTCTTTCATAGGTTAATGGCACCTGGCAGTGTGATCCAGTTTGTACATAAACACATGGGCTTGGTCCCCGGCTGGGGTGGTGCCGCTCGACTTGTCCGCATTGTGGGAAGCCAGAATGCGCTGAAGCTGCTGGGAGGTGCTGTCAAAGTGGATCCAGAAGTGGCCTTGCAGATTGGACTGGCAGAGGAAGTCCTGCAGGGGGAGGGGACGGGCACCCCCCTGCAGCGGGCTGAGAACTGGCTCAGTGTCTACACAAAGGGTCCTGCCCCAGTGATCCAGGCTGTGAAGAAGGTGGTGCTGTCAGGGAGAGAGCTCCCCCTGTCTGAGGCTCTGAGGACAGAGAAGGACGTATTTGGGACGGTGTGGGGGGGCCCAGCTAACATGCAGGCTCTGGCCAGTAAGTCCAAACACAGATGAGAGACCGTCAGCTGCTCAGATCAGCCAAGATCTTCAACTGAGACATTTGTGGAAAGCTCTTTACACATCTGAATTGTGTGGAAGAGTACTGTAACTGACTGACCTCAATAAACGATTTAGTTATAAAATGGGGACTCTGGAAATGTAGAGGCACAGAATAAAGGATGAAACTTCATCATTTCAATAAATCAGTTCACTGCATCATACACTTAGTTAGAGAATCATTATCACATACTTGAATGGTTGTGATGTATTTTATTTGTTTCTCTTAATGTGACATTGTAACAACTCATCACAAGAGTAATTTGGTACTGGTACTTGTGGGGGAAACTTCTGAAGCAATTGGAGACAGGACTCAGAGAGACACGAGGAGAGCTGGAGCTTTGATGGCAAACACTGACGGTTTATTTAGGAGCCTCGGCCGGAGAATCACAAGACATGTCACGGGCCACGATCCGACCACGCGGTTGAGATGCCACAATCAATTCTGAAGAACCCTCCTGTAGCTCCAGGTTTGTAATAATCAACATTCTTCAATAGATAGACTAAACAGCTGAGGACACTGAATCACATTTGTTGTCGCTTATGGCTCGGGGTCATCTACACCCCGAGAAGGATGCGTTCCAGGTGTCCCATAACAATTACTATCTCTGACAGAAAGTTGCCCGGTCATAGACTGGTAACAGCAACAAAATGCAGGGCAGCCCCTCATTAAGGGAGATAGCATGCTGCCCAAGGCTGGGCATCTGCGTCAGAGGGTGAAGGAGGACATGCAGAGCATATTATTCCCTGACAGTACTGATATTTGTTGGTGATATTGCAAACATTGTAGTATTTCCAGGTATAACAACTGAATTAACAGCATAAACAAAAACTCTTTGGTTGTTGCTTGGGGGTTATATTTTCTCTCTACAGCCTTCTTTACAATGAAATATTTGGCAAATCTAGAGTCAGGTGACCTTATAATGTTTTGGTTTCAGTAATACTCTTTATAATGATGCTGTATACAGCTGTATTAAACAGTGCTGTTTTATATTTTCAGTATGGATGAAAGCAAGGACCTTAAAGATTGTTCCCAATCTTCCAAATCCCTTCTGTGCCAATTAGACAAGCACGTGAACTCCAGGTCGCCTGCAAATGTGATTACGGTGGTGATTAGATCATGGCAGGAAGACAGCATCAGCATGCAGATACTGACAGGGTATAACAAGCATGAGGCAGCATCTGTCTGCAGGACTGAGAGTAATGCTGCTTTCCTCTTTCCCTCAGGTTTGTAGGTTACTTCAGATTCCTCTGCAGTCAGTGTATCCTTGCTCATCCCAGCATTCTCATTCTTTCTATTCTACTGAAAAGCACGTGGGAAGACACTAGGTTTTTTAGAGCACAAGGCTGCAAAAAACATTCAAATGTGCATACTTTTTCTGTCTTCAATTTCTAGTTCATTTGTTTATTTCACATAAAAAAATGTGCCCGTCCAGTGAAAGGTCAGAGCAGGACGATTCCTGGAGGATGCCAAGCCTTTATCTCCTTCCCCCCCCCCACCGGTCGGGTTTCCTGGCAGACACCCAGCTGAGGCTGATAGCTGCTGTGGTCTGAATGCCTAACACCTACAAGGTGAGTGAGGGGAAAGTCACGAGTTGTATGATATAAAGAATAGCAATGATCTTCAATGACACATAGAGAGGCTGTGCTGCATGGACATCAGTGTCAGCATCTTTCTCCTTCTTACACCTGTTGAGATTTTCTATTTATAGCTAAGTAAGGAAACCACTGTCACTGTACCTCATTCTGCAATATGCAGTTTTGTATCCATCTGTCTTTTAAATGTATTGTTATATGTTATATGATTAATGCATATTAAATATCTCAGCTGTGCATGTAGTAGAAATAATATTTTTTTAACTCTGGAAAAAATCTCGAGATGAAAAATAAGTAAAATGTTAGTGCACAATGAGCATTGATAGTCCTACTTATGTAACACTCAATACAATTCTATATTAAATATAAAATGACCAGAACATATACTAATAACCAGAGACATGAGCCCAAGATTTATCATTTTAGGATGATGAAATTACACAATTTATTCTTAAATTACAAATCATGTAACAAAAAAAGTTGCCAAGCGAAGATACGGACACAAACTTTATTCTTCAGAATGAAAAGGCTAAGACTGAGCTGATGATGTAAGCATGTAAGAAATATAAAAGTAAAATACAACTTGAAATCTGTGCAGGATGGCTAATAGCATTAGCATGTTGTTGTTCTCTTACTGCCTCTGACATCGTACAGATTTACAACCATAGGAAACGCAAACAAAACAAGGAACAAATGAAAAACATTTACTCAAACAATGCAAAAAAAAAGCAATTCTCATCATCTTGCCAACCAGTAGTGTTTAAATAACTCTCTCTTCAAACATGCACTAATCACAAAACTTTAGAAAAACACCAATTGAGAATACTTTAGTCGGGACAATAAGACTATGAATGAGGCTGCAGAGGCCTCAACAGCTTTAAAAGGAGAACACTGATACTTCACATTCAAATGCCAATTATTTAATCAAATTGGATATATACTTCTATTATGCAAATGTCAAATGATCAAATCAAAGCAAAACCATCAGCAGGTAGTCCGATAATCCTGTGGGCTCCTGAATTAGCACATTTAATGTGACATTTGTCTACCCAAAATGCATAACAGTAAACTACTTCTTCCTTTCCTTTTTTTTTTTTTATCTGGAAAAGCAACCTCAAGATTTTCTTCCACAATGACATACTTTCAAAAGTTAGTTTAAATTTCAGAATAGTTAAGGAAAGGCATTGATGATCAGTTAAATCTGAAGTAAGGGAGTTGTGTAGGGAACAAGTAATCAAGGATTTCATAATTTGCAGGAGTGGTCAGATGACTTGAGCTCTAAGAAGCCCATCGGCGTGCTATGTTAGCTGAGAGAGTTAAAGTGAAGTTGATTAGAATGCGACTGTTCATGATAATGATAAAGACACAGTTCCATTTCCAGAGTAACTACCCCATTATGCTTTCACCCTTGAATGTCACAGATCTGGCTAAGAATTCCCGGCAACCTTCTGGGTATTGGGATAATCCATTTCAACACAATATCTAGGATAGGCAAGTCAGGTTTAAGTTTTAGCCTCCACTTTTCTGGATTTTAAAATGAACACTGTATCTGCCTGCAACCAAATGGCCAAAAGTGACCCACAGTTGGTGTGTTACCTCACATCATGCGCTGGATAAAGACAGTTATGAGAGGTCCCGGCTCTTATCAACATGCTGTGTGCATCTGACTCATTACCAAGCTGTACCTCTTGTTTCTGTACTAAAACGTTAAACCCAACATTATTTATACTGGCTGGGGTTTTATTGACTGCCAAATCATACAGACACATGTGAGCCTTGTGAGCCAAAAAGAGGCACCAAATTCGATTGTTAAAATGTGGTTGTTTACCTAAAAACATGGGAGTATGTTAGGCCTAATCTCTCTTTTACTGAGCAATCTATCCACATCTGATCTGTGACAGCATACAGCGAGGAATAAATTAATGAAATGGAACATGGCCATTTGGTGGTGATGGTATCATGGCGGACTTCACACTTCAGTCACTGTACACTGGCCGTCAGGCATTCTGGACCTCCCACTGCTACTGGATGAAGAAGGGGGAGAGGCGGACTCAGCGCCTGGAGGGGCTCTATTCTCTGGATTCAGTCTTTGCCTCCGTGGCCGATCCTCCCAGGGCTCCACCCGCTCTCCATCTCCCCCACCCTCTTCCTCATCCTCCTCTTCCTCCTCATCGTCGCTCCAGTCTCCAGAGCCAGACTCGTCCACGGATGTGAGAGGGTCAGAGGACCTGGAGGGCGAGGCCTCCTCTTCCTCGTCTTCTTCCTCTCCTTCCCCTGTCTCAGACCGCTCATTGGAGGGTGTGGGCCTGGGGCTGACTTGCAGCTGGGAGAGAGCATCCTCCAGGGTGGGGCTGCTGCTGCTGCTGCCGGGCTGACCACCGAGGGAGGTGGGGGGTCTGGCTGTAGCAATGGAGGGGATACCTGTGACCTGCTGCTGTGTACCAGCCAATGTGGTATCAGCCCCATCCGCAGAGTGTTCACGACCAGCTGCCCCTATAGCCCCAGCGACAGCCTCAGTGTCCAAACGCAGGCCCGCCACTCCCTTCTTGGGGATATCCAAAACGTCCCTCTTTATCTTGCGTCTACGACCATGCTCATTGCGTCTGTACTGCACCATGTTCTCCAAGTCGGCTACGTACAAAAAACCAGCAATCAGCATTTCAGCTGTTTTCTTGCCCTTAGAGAAAGCGTCCTCCAGCTCGCGGCTGGTTCGCTCGTCATACTGCCACCAACCATTACGGCCTTCATAATACCAGGCGTGATCACTTGCTGCCCCGGCCCGGCCTCCTGCTGATGCTTTCAGCTCCTCCGGAGACAGAAGTGTTGGCCTTTCCAGGAAGTCATCGGGTACCTCCTGTCTGCAGAGGGCACAGCGTTTGCTCTGCCAGGATGCTCCCTTCACACACAGGAAACAGAAGACGTGATGGCATGGTAGCTGGACTGGGTGGACGCAGCTCTGAAGACAGATGGCACACTCCGGTACCGAAAGTGCTGGAGATGAGTTGCTGGAGCCGGCGCATGACGATTCAGCACTGTTCCCACTTCCTCCACCACTGCTGCTGCCTTTCTTACTGGATGGAAGCGAGCTAACAGAGTGGTCTACCTCCCCACAACTAGCCATCCTTAGGAAGTACTGAGGAAAGAGGACAATATATTATTGGGCCTGGATTATCATATTATCCTATATTGGTTTAAAAAATAAATTAAAAAATCAGTATTTCAAAATGATTATTAATGTAGTTTTAAGATAACAAGTCCTATAGAGATACATTACTGGCAATAAACACTTTTATGCACATTTAACATTGAATTGCATCTTTCTTTAACTTTAAAGCAAACAGTCCCGAGATAAAGTCCAATTTAGAATCATGAATATCCAAAGATAGTAGATACCAAAGTCTATGCCTTCTGTAATATAAAACAAGGCTGGTATTTGATACTTACTGGAAATACCCTTAATGCGGATGTATCATTAGGAGAGCTGTTGGACCTTCACGTTTGCCACTGCTTAAAGGAAAGGAGAAGTGTGTAAAAAATATATTTGATTTTCAACTGTTCTGAAGATAAAAACAATTATGATACACATAATATCAAGTTTTTCTTTACGTAAGCGTCATTGTGACCAAAAACTGCACTTCTAACGTAATGTTAAAACGGATTAGCAACAAATAACTACGTTAATTCACTCAGCTATGACTGAAATGTTGGGGTTAACTTAAGTCTGTTGAACAAAGGGCTGCTCTGTTAACCGTGACAACAAACACTGAATTGTGTCAGCTAGCCGTTTGAGCTAACGCAGTTGGTTCATGACAGCTTACGATACTCGAGTAAAATCAACAGCCAACGATCTAACATCCACACTAAAAGATGACAGTATGAAACCACACTTATTTAGTTATGCTTACGTTATGTACATTAAGTAAGCCGTTCGTTGTCACCGTTACGAAAGTCCAAACTCAGTCAAACAGTACAGAGGGATTTTCTCGACTAGCAAAGCTACCATAACAATAAGACCTGTTGTAGCTATCGCTGGCTAGGCTGATAGCTGTGACTCCAGCAAATAGACGGAGTTCATCTGACGGTGCTAGCTTATTTTAGAAGGGCGGCACAAACATTAAGGGTAAGCATTTCCTCACGAAGAGACAATAAAACGACTACGCAGGAAACATACCGTTAAATGCTGCTGTGTTGGTCTGGTGTGCGGTTACAATTCGGGTAACGACACAATTTTCTAAAGCTAATCTACCGACATCCAATGTTAACTGGCTTTGTTTTCCTCCGAAAAAGGAGATGAGATAAAGACCACGACGTAACAGTACGTGCTGACGTACTGTGACGTAAAATGGTACGACCCTTATATTCTACGCATGACAGTTTGCTGTGCTTCCTGTTCACTCGTGGCTAGAGGACGTTGGTGTCACACAGAAGAAGGGCTCGCCAAGTATTTTTATTTTCCACCAAAGTAAGCAGAGAACTAACAAACAATATGTTTGCCCGTGCTGTGAGACCTACCGTGAGCCTGGCTCGGAGCCTTTCTACCTCTACGCAGAACAACGCCAAGGTTGCAGTGCTGGGGGCGTCCGGAGGCATAGGCCAGCCACTCTCTCTGCTGCTGAAGAACAGCCCCTTGGTGAGCCACCTCTCTCTGTTTGATATTGCCCATACCCCCGGCGTGGCCGCAGATCTCAGCCACATCGAGACAAGGGCCAATGTGACCGGCCACATGGGCCCCGATCAGCTGGATGCTGCTCTTCAAGGCTGCGACGTCGTGGTCATCCCCGCCGGTGTGCCCAGAAAACCCGGCATGACCCGTGATGATCTCTTCAACACCAACGCCACCATTGTAGCCACCTTGGCCGATGCCTGTGCCCGCAACTGCCCCGAGGCTATGATCTGCATTATTGCTAACCCTGTCAATTCCACCATCCCCATTGCATCAGAGGTCATGAAGAAATATGGAGTTTACAACCCCAACAGAATGTTTGGTGTCACAACCTTGGACATTGTCAGAGCCAACGCCTTCGTGGCAGAGCTCAAAGGTCTTGACCCAGCTCGTGTCAACGTACCAGTCATTGGAGGTCATGCTGGGAAGACGATCATTCCCCTCATCTCCCAGTGCACACCAAAGGTCGAGTTCCCTGCTGACCAGCTCGCTGCTCTGACAGCCAGGATCCAGGAGGCCGGCACTGAGGTGGTGAAGGCCAAGGCTGGAGCCGGTTCTGCTACCCTGTCCATGGCTTATGCTGGAGCCCGCTTCACCTTCTCCGTCCTGGACGCCATGAATGGAAAGGAGGGTGTGGTGGAATGTGGGTATGTCAGGTCTGAGGAGACAGAGTGCAAGTACTTCTCCACACCTCTTCTTCTGGGGAAGAGCGGCATCGAGAAGAACCTTGGACTGGGCAAGCTGACCGCCTTCGAGGAGCAGCTGGTCGTTGAAGCCATGACTGAGCTGAAGGCTTCTATCAAGAAGGGCGAGGATTTCGTGGCTAACATGAAGTGAACAGGGAGCATTATATTGTAAAAAAAAAAAAAAAAAGCAGCAGTTGTGATTGATCATTTGTTCCATCCTACCTAAAGCCATCTGGGTAAAACTGAAAATCACAGTGTTTCCCCTTTTTGTTTTCGTTTTGACAGTAGAATTTTCTTGATTCAGCAATCCTGGTGTTAACCAGTGTACCAATGTATTATTTTCTCTTACCTTCTTAAACATGGCTTTCTTGCACTATGATTATTGTCCGTGAATTAACTATATTTAGCAAATGTGAAATTTTAACGAAAATTCATGTATTTCCATGTACAGCCTGTATTAATGGGGATTTCTCTGCATAAGGAATGAGGAGGAAATACTGTCATCATGCCTGTTGATGCTACTGGATGTTACTGATGAACAAAATACTCACTCCATAAATAAAGTTTAAGCTTAGCTTTAAAAAATGATTCCTTGTTTTTGTTTAACAATAGTATTTGGCTTTACATTGTACAACTGAAAGGCTGACCTTAATTTTGCTTAGTTTTCATGACACACACTCCGTCTAGGCACTGAAATACTTAAGATATATGTTCAAATGCACTAATTTACTTAATAAAAAGGTAGTAATTTAAACCAACTGAACACTAGAATCATTTAAATGGAAAATATGTATTTTGATATAAATGAACTACATGATGGTAGTTTTCAGAAAATAGGAGGCCTATAGTCCCTGCAAAATAATCATTATTGTGAACTTTTGTATGGTTTATAAGTCCTGCATGAAGCCGTATTCACAATATGTGCATAAGAAACACCAAATAGATTCTAGAACAGTGAAGTGTAAAATGGGGAAGCTTCCCACTGCAATGGACAAAACCTTATTTCTTGTTAGCTGTATACATATTTCCTCTGGCAGATGTCGCTGTCTAAAGCAAGTCTTCAGGTGTGACAGTATGTAACACTGCTAAAGCTTTCACCCGAAAGAGCTAAATATAGCTGCATACGGAGTTCCCTTTGCATTTAGTCTGAGGGTTTAAAGCAACCTTAAGTGGATTGCACAAGAAGGAAGAACACCGGTACAAACCCATTATAGTTTTATTTGACATACAGGTGCTTTCGGTTCCTAGTCAAGGAGCTTTACTGAGAGCACATATTGGATTTACACAAAAAGAAAAACCAATGGTAGATAAGATTGATCACTTATTTACAAGCTTGATGTTAATGTTTTTATTTTTTATTTATTGACTTTGGTTCACAGCATGCAGGACCTCCTACATCTGACATTTGTTGTGATTATGAAGATGTCACAAGATGGCAATTGCAAACACACTTTTATTTTTTTCTTTACAAATTCTGCACCAAATAAAATAAAGTAAAGAGATCTAAAGAACAGGAACAACAATAATAAACAATTGCTCTACATAATGTTGCAAAATCTACATTCAAAAACCATGACGCGCAATGTTGTACCAGGGCCCCATTAAATAACCATATCAACAAGCACATAGTATAACGTCTTAGTCTCTCTGTTCATCTGTCTTTCTGTCCACCAGTCCTCCACAGTCACAGACATTTCTCACTTCGTCTCAGCAGTCTCTCCTGCACCTTTCATCAGACACTCTCAGTGGTAGAAGTGAAGGAGTAGTAGCGGCTACAGGGTAGAAAAAATGACTTCTTAAAGTCCATCGTGGCCCCTAGCCTTGTGGCTGAATGTGCCCCATCCCGCTTGTGCATAAACATTATATTCAAATCATACAGGTAGCAGCAACACCCCTGCAGAGAGGGGTCGAGGGGGGTTAACAGTGGGTGAGGATGAGGGAGTTTTGGAGAAGTTAGAAGTGGAGGATGACAGGAGGAGGTTGGGAGGGCGCTCTGTCCATCGCACTACTGTACGAGTCCAACTGCAGGCGTAACTGGGTCTGTTTCATGGCCTCGCCGACGCCTGTGCTCCGTTTTGTTCCTGATATCAGAGTCCTCACGTTCACCTGTCTCCCTCTCACGCTCCCTTTCTATTTTTCTCTCTCGTCGCCCCCCTGGGTTCTCCTTATCTTTACGGTTGTTGCGATTCCTCCGTTCTTTTCGCTCATTCTTCCTCCTTTCACCTGGGAGATAAAGAACATAAAAAAACAACATTTTAGTAAAGCAGATTCCCTTATCAGTATTCAGTTCATTAATGTTTTACGGAATCTTTTCCTACTAAAAATGAATTCATAAAGAATGTTGGAAAAAAACCTTGTAAAATAGGGTTAGGGTTAGGGTCAAACCATACCGGTTGTTTTACATTTGCCACTTGCAAATTCAGTCTTGTAACATTCAGGCCCAATGTCTGAAGCCCAGTTCTATTTTGAAAACATTTGTATTATGCTGTGGCTAAAAATAGCAAAGCTTTAACCTTTAAGCTCAACCTAGCTTACTGCTGTTGATTTTTGTCAGACAAACACTAGTAACTGGGATTCAGAGACTTAGTTGATCCTTGCATCAGAATCTAAGTTATGAAAACCACCATATATGTATAAAAAAGTAGCAAGACTTAGGTGAGAGTGAACTACAAACAAATATCAGTGTGCAACACTAGTTACTGCAGTGCTCTGTTTTCACCACTAGATGCCAGTCTTTATCCACAGACTGCAGCCCCCTGCCTGTGATGAGCAGCCCTTTGTCCAAAATAGAAAACCTTTAAATAAACCCCCCAATTTATCTGCTCTTGCAACACCATCTCATAAACAAAACGGAGAGTTTTGGAATGCTGAAGGTTTATCTCTGCTCGAGCTACAGTTATTAATGATAATAACAAGATCCAGCCCCAGGGAGGTTGGAGACAGGACCTGCAAGTGAAAAGCAGAGGAGGCCCTTTCCTGTTGTTGCACTGCTGCTGTTCATGTGTGAGTGGAACGGAGCAGCACAGCCTGCTTGGCTGTTTGGCCGGCCAGTTGGGGATTGTGAAACTGCTGAAGTCGGCAGTAGGCACAGACAGGGAGGGAGAGGGACAGGGAGAGAGAGAAAGACAGATAAAGGGAGGGAGAGAAAGAGATCTCTCTCTGTCTCTCTACTGTTTGGCCCCTATACGTTCATCCTCTCCCTCACTGTCAGTCCATTAATCAAGCCGGGCTCTGGGTGAACCAGGGTGCGTATCTGACCCACACATTCTCTACCTGCCCAGTGCCCACTGTGTTTAACCTCTAAAGAGGATTGCATAATGTGAACGTGGTTCAATTGCAAGACAGTGAGAGTAAGTAAAAAGTAATTCAAGCTAGATGGATGCATGGATGGATGGATGGATGGATGGACGGATGGACGGATGGATTAATCTGGTGCATTGACTCATACGGGGTCTGCCCTCCGTCCTCTATAAACACAGGAAGTCCCCTTCGCTCTCATTGTTTTCTCTGTCCTGACACCATTTACAACTATTTACAAGTTCAGTGGATTAGTCATTCTGTAGCCCCTGTGCTTTTGTCGAGCCAGAGGAGAAACCTAATCCATGCCAGTGTTGAGATGATTAGGAGAGTGTTTATCAAACCCAACCTGCGTTTGGTTAGTTGGAACATTTTCTGATGGCCGCTTTGTAAACTGTGTAATGACATGTGTGTAATGGTCTCAAAATGAGACACCTTTAGAGGTTTTGAAACATTTTCAACACACATTTAGTACATTCTTCAAAAGCCATGTTTTAATGAATAAGGTCTGACTGGCAGTGTTTGAAAGGTTGGCTTTGGGGACAAAACACGGACATCTCCTATAACTAAACCCTGGAACCTGTACCAGCAGTGAAACAGCTTCAGTAAAAAAAGAGAAAGGCTCTTAGGAGAGCATTGAGGACATCACAAGGATTAAGTCCTGTTTTGGCCGAACAATATGCTGTAAGAATGCAAAAGCACTTCAAACATACAGATTTGTTTTTTGAATATTCAACATATTCATGGCCAGTAGGTTTTACCCTCAAATAATTGTAATTGTTTATTCATTTTGTAACGTATCACTTACTCTTATGGTAATGTAGGCAATGCATTTTAGGACATTACATCTGCACATTATGTTAACTGTGTGATGAAAGGTCATTCAGTTTGGAGGAGATGCATTGCTACTGCAAAGTGGTACCAAACTAAATATGTGATTCTTCAAGTAATATTATTGTGTTTGGGATATTACTTTGAAGTGCTGACATCCATCATACTCATGAAACTTTACAGTTGTGTAATTGAGATCAAAATTAAGGTTGAGTACAAAAATGGCCGTTGTTCCGAGCAAGGTAGACAACGTTGCAATGGTCTCTAGTTTGTCATATTTTAGCCAAGCATGGTTCAGTCCAAAACAACAGTCGACCATCACACAGTTATTGCTGTAACTGTTTATTTGCTACCTTCCTAATATCTCCACTAACATCCTGGAAAAGAAAAGTCCCCTAATAACATCAAATGTGGCTATTATGTTTCTGTTTGTGTTCTAAATACAAAAACAGAGATATAATAAGTGAGTTTTGAAAGGAAGATGATAAATAGACATATTTCTAAAACGAAAAACTACTCCTTTAATGTAGTTTCAGTTGTTACTATTAACAACCCTTTAACCCTTGAACACTGTCTATTTTGTTGTCTGGCAAAAGCTCATAAAAGTGACCAAAAATAAACAACACAAATAATGGGTATATATGCTCCACTTAAGATTTTAGGATTTTTACCAAGACAAAAGACATTGCAAATCATGTATTATGACCAATAGGTCAACATATAATTACAGCGATCAGTACACAGATGAGAAATATTTTTCATCTTTACAAGTGGAAAACATTTTGCTAAAATGTTTTGTTAAGGAAGGGAAATGTATACAGAAATGTGTTCTCTTTTTCACGTTTCTCCCTAGTAAGCTGCACAGTGTAAACACAGCCTCAAGTGGGACCTGCTGAATTGTATTTGGCTGTAATGTGACTGCTGGATATCTGTTGCAATGTATTAATAAAGGACAGGAGTCAGTAAACTGTACTGAGAGCGCAAAGAGGGGCTTCACTGGGTGGGACACTGCACGCTGTGTGTGTGTGTGTGTGTGTGTGTGTGTGTGTGTGTGTGTGTGTGTGTGTGTGTGTGTGTGTGTGTGTGTGTGTGTGTGTGTGTGCGTGTGCGTGTGTGTGTGTGCAGTGAAAGAGACATGGAGAGAGAAAGAGAGCAGTAGAAGAGATGAATGACAATCCAGTGAGAGTATTAAACGAACAATGTGAGTGTAGGAAATCAAATTAGAGAGCGGATGGGCATGGAGGGTAAGGGGAAGTGTGTGTGTGCACGTGTGTGTGCGGTTGGAGGAGCACTGTGTATTTTAGTGTGGCATATCCTCCGTGGCAGGCGTGCTGTCGTCCGGGGAGCTTTTGGCGGGAGCCAGGCTGGGATTAAAGGCTATGGGCTGTCCCACAAGTGGAATGCCTGCCGCATGGCCGCATGGCCGCCAGGATCTCATGGGGGTGGGAGGGGGGCTT